AATTTATGAATGTTGTAAATAAAAAGGAGTTAAATATTTTAGTTTTTAATTGGTTTCTGGAAATTTTAATTCAACTTAAATATAATTGCCAATTAGTTAGTAATTAAGATTCATCTTACTTAAAGAAATTATTTTTATTTAGAAAAATGTAAACAAAAGGTGTGATGTTTAAAAAATCTTGTTTTGCGCCAAAATTTATTCATAACTCTTTTTAATCTTATCTCTTTATCATTTGTAAAATATCATGGTAGAAAATTTTGCATAAATTAAAATTATCACGTTTAGAAAAATGTATTTCCTTCCTAGGATGAGTAATTCAACAACAATCTACTGAACTAGCTTAAAGTAATTTAAATTGAAAAATGTTCTCATTTAGTTCCATGCTGTTTAGCCTTTTCAACCGACCGGATCATATTAGTAGACAAACCATTTGAATAAACTAAATGGATCTGAACAAAATTTTTAAATAGGAATTTGTGTGTACCTGTAAACTATCCAATAAGAATGTATTAAAATCATGTGAGAATAAGTATGTAAACTTAAATTACGTGTTTCAAATTAATCTTCAGTAACTTCAACAAATAATTCTATTTAAGCATCTCTAAAATAACTTTTTCTGTAAATTTTAGCCTAAAACTTTTTTCAATTTCATATAAAATTCGATTCATGTTCATGTAAATGATATTATAAAATAAAAACAAAATGCTGCAATACAATTAAGTAAAACAAAAAAAAAAACATTTATGATCCAGCATGAATAAGAAATCAAACCAGATTTAACATTAAGACAGGATAAACACCAGACTAGCAATAATATTTTTTACTTTTTCTTATAATTTAACTTAGCGTTTTTTGAATATTAATAATTCTGGTTTTTAATGCAATTTACATAATCAATCAATAAAAGAAATTGATGTTTATCGTTCGGACATCAGGGTATTTTAGTTATCATCGAATTGAATCGTCTTGTCTCTTGATCATCACCACTTTAAATAATAATGATTCGTAGCTTCTATAAATAAAATTAAGATTTAATTACATATTACTTTGTAGAATGAAATTTCATTGAGTTAAATTATATTGAATAATTTTAATGTGATTATTTTTAAATTTGAATAATTCATAGAATTTATTGATAAGAATTCTTTCCATAATTATTCGAAAATAAATAAACCGATTTTTATATTTTATTTCTTGAAGATTTATTAAATTTATTTTGCATAATTTCAAAATCAATTCTAAGCTCTGGTATCGCTTTTTCTTGCGAATATAAGTTAAATAGCTTTATAACTTTCCAAATTTCTTCCAAATTGTTTTCTTCTGTTTTTTGATAGAGAAAATTAATATTAAATTTATGAATTTCAAAGTTTTGGAGCATAATTTTCTTATATATGCTAATATTTAAAAAAAAATTATGAGAATTTTTGAAAATTTTTGATTAATAAATCAAAATGGCAAAAATATTTAATGAATAAATTAATTATAAAGAGGGTCTCACCTTTAAATGATTGTAAATTCTGCTCAGATATTGAATATATTATTGGATTGAACTGATATAAAGGTTATTAAAGGTTATTAGCTAAAATATTATTGTAAGTGGATTAGGTTAACAACATCATTTTTTAGTAATGTTTAAATTTTGTGAATTTTGTCTGATCAGCTATCGGAATCGTATTAACAAATTTGACATTTTGAGAAATATCACTATCTATAAATTTTAAATTATTCTGATAATGATGGCTATTGTACTATTCTTATCATCCTAAAATTAACATAATTTATTCGTATTTGGTAAGAATTTATCATTTTAAAATTTGAATTCTTAAAATGATAAAATTAGTTTGATGAAATACTTTAAATATGTGAAAAGAATTGTGTGCTTATACAGCGATCACAACAGGGAGAAAGTATTGACACTCGACTATTATAGCTCTCAAAACTTAAAAAAACTATTAAACTATAAAAACTATTAAACTATTTTACTTGAGTGTCAATTTTCTGAAAAAGTAAAATCCTATTGTTACAATCTTAATCTTTAAAAGCTTAAAAGCATATTTCCGAAATATTGATTCTGATTATTGCAAAAGATCTGCATATATACCTGAAAGGTTTTTAATATTCAAAATCTGTTCAGTAAATATTTCTAATTAACGTACTTTTAAAGAAACATAAAGGGCATATTAAATAACATCATTAAAAGAGTAAATCGGATTTTTTGAATCTCTAAATAAAGATAATATTATCGCTTTAGTACAAGAGACCTCCCAAAGAAAAAGCCATATTTCAGTTTAATACCCTATTTCAAAAGCCCTTTCATAATTACTTTTGATAATCATACAGACATTATTATATACTTGCATCTACATAGTACATATTATGTATTATGCGTGTACAATACATAAAATAAAATTTCACTACATAATTTACTAAATAATAGTAAAATAAAATAATTTTTTCTTTTCCTACATCAAAATAAATGAATATTTTCGCACATTTCTATTTAAATTTGATTTCAAATTCATTGTTAAAATTCCAATTGATAATAACTATAATAATAACAAATTCTTGACACGTTACACCAGTTCCATATAATTGCATTTTATAACATTTTGTGTAAATGCACGCTCATTTTATATCTTGATAAATTCATTTACCTATCATATGACTATGTGGTGCGCTACTGCTGCTGCTACCCAATTACAATATTTTCTAATTTATTAACTTATTGAAACAGTACCATTAAAATTTATTATTTTATAATGAAAGCAGTAAAATTTTTCTTACTTGCAAATTAAATTTACTATCAAAACAACAAAATGTATATAATGAAAAAATGCATTTATTTATTCAATTTTTGCTTTTATCACCAGAAAAATTCCATTGAAAATCTAAAAAATTATCTTTATATTGATAAATTGAAATTGAAAATAAAGAAAAAAATATGTTTTGTATGCAATTTATGTTACCATTTTGCAATGCACGCTGTATAAAATTGCAAAAATTAATTTCTATCGATAAAATAATTTTACGGATATTATGGAGCCTATGTGTTTTTAAACACTAATTTTGCTTTCACATTTGTTACAAATATATGAATTTTCAAATTCAAAATTATTGGTAATTTCCTGGTGCATTTTGACAATTTAGTTGTAAAAATTTTCTCAAATCAATGGAAAATCTGTGTATAAAATTGTTTCAAATAAAACCTGCAATTCTAGTAATAATTCTTAATATTTAATATAAGCAATTAATAGTTGATTTGAAGACGAAATTGTAGACCTAGATTTTGCGTAATGATGTGCTACTTAGTGAATTAATACTGAAAAATTAATTTGAAAGCTTGAAACTTGGATACGAATTCTAAAGCCGAGTGGCCTCAATACACACAAACTGCTCCCACTGCAGTTTTCATATGCTCTATGTTTCATGACACAATTCTTATTTCTTCACTTACCTCAGGGATTCTATCTTGACATCCAAAATCATTCCGGGATATTTTGCTAAATTTTAGTTTGTAAAATTTACATATACAGATTTATTTTGATTTAGCTTTATCTCCATTCAATTGTCCATTTGCTTATATCATTATTTGCTTGTTGTAATATTTGTGTAGGTTCTTCAACATTAGGTCGATCTCCTGGTATTGTAAAGATATCAATCTCTTAATTTTATCTGACAGACCTCCGTATCAAACTTGATCAAACGCCTGGGCCATGTTCAGAAATATTGTCGAACATATTTGATTTTCTTTTCACGCCTCTTTTATAATATTGGTGTTTTAGTGCAATTGATCAATTATTGCGCGCTTCGTTCAATTGAATTAAATTTTTAGTTTTAACATCATTGGTGTCAGAGATGGTGGTGATATAGCTGTATGGCTTTGCCTCATTTGAGGGTTTACCTGATTTTTTATCATAATAATTTCCGCTACTTTCATTAGTTGGTTAAAACATTAGAAATATTATTAGGTTTACTGCTGCACTTATCACTTTTTTCAAACAACTGGACAATGCATTGATACATTGCCATATCTTATGAGCATCAACTACTCGTAATTACTCCAATACGAGTAACACCTGAAAGACTCCTTTATCTTGATGATCAAAGTTTCTGATACTCCTAAAAATTAAGAACATTATTATTTTTGCTTACTACAACAAATTTAAACATTTGAAAATAAAATTTCCCGTATACTATTATATTTCATTAACGTTTAAACAAGTTAAAATGCTGACAAAGCCCCAAAGCATCATTAAAAATAATGTTTGAATATAAATTCCTAATAGTTTTTTACAAATTAGGTACGTAAATTCAATAAATTTTAATTCATATTTTTATTTTTTAGTTGCAAAGCAATTAACATTACGTTATCTTGTGGGAGTTAACGTCAAAAGATACCTGCAACACTTAGATAATTCTTTTTTTTTATTTTTTTACCTCATAAAAAGAATATTATTGCCATCATCGGGGGTGCATTATTCTTCAGTATTATTGATTCAATATAATTAATTAATGTTGCGATTCTTATCTATAAATAAAATGAAAAAATCTAATCAATTTTTTTCAAAGTTTTATGAACGTAAAATAATTATCACTTAAAACGCTACATAAATAGAATTTTATTTGAAAAAAAAAAATTGTTTTTTCCCCCTTTCTATATTAAAATTCAACTTTGTTGCTTTGCTTACTCAATGCCATCCATTACACACTCTAATGTATTCAAAATAAATAAATATACACACGATATCTAATCAGATAAAATTTCCGTGTAATTATTTGTATTTACCTTTGTTATTGCGCGAATAATATCACTTAAAGTGTAAATAAAAAAAAAGCATAATATTCGTTTTTGTCAATTCTTTATTGCATTCTCACTCAACTCTTATGATTTTTCATACATGAATCGAAAAGTTCTATCGTTCCAAAAATGATAAAAAAAATTTGCCTGCCTTTGCCGTAAATTTTTAATTCTTTAACAAAATTTAATATTATTTACAAAGTTACAAGAGCTTAAAGTGAAACAAGATGGAAATGAAACGAAAAGCAACAATGAATATTTTTAATTTTTTTTTTTTGTTGATGGTATCAAATTGAGATTTTGCTAATGCCATCACACTACACCATTGTTATGTTTTGTTGATTCAAAGATTATAACTGTATTTTGTTACACTAATACCACCATCATAAGGGTTCAGTAATTCAGTTATAATCTAATGTAAAATAAAATTTATAAAATACAGAAATGTTTACTACAATGAGATTCTATTTTTTGTAAATGTAAAAAAGTTCTCCTGCATTAACATCTCATTTGAAAGAGAGTGGAATTAAAAATTCTCTCTGTAATAATAATATTGTGTCATGCGACAAATTTCAAATAAAATTTATGGTGTATCAGTAATATTTTTTTTAAAATAGTTTGCTTAAAGTTTGTTATTCTAATAAATTATAATTAAGAAATATTATAAAATAATTTTGACTCAAGTAAGTTTTTTGTAAAATTAAAGTTGGTATATAGGCAAAAATATTTGAGAACTGGAAAAGTACGGAGTCTCGCCTGCTAAAACAAAAATCTGTATTCATTTGTACTATTGCACTGTGTTCGATATGTTGCAGTATAAAATTAAGTCTATATTCTTAAATTCAACTTCTGCTCATTTTAAATCCAAAAGTTGACACCCAATTTACAAATTCGGCATTTTCCATACAAGTGTATATTAAATGTTGCAATTAACAACAAGGTGAACTAAAGAACTGAATTTGAAATCATTTTCAATTTACTGCTTTTCATTTTGAGTGATTTAAAAAAAAGAAGAACTAAGTAGACTTGTTCATCAGACCAAAAACTTTTTAATTTTTTAAAAAGTTTCCTAGAGAGCAAATAACCTTCAAAATACTTATAGTCTAATTAAACTTTCATATCAGCGTAGTTATTTTTATTGACTAAGAAACTTAAAAAATTCGTAATGGCACGCAATTGTTCTACTAAAATTACCCTCTGCCCGGACACAATTTTACCATCGAAAATTTTTTACAAGAATACGCTAATTCAAAAACAATTGTTTTAAAAATTCTTCAAAAGTCAAGAATAAAAATTAAGTAAGATTGAATTATTTTAAAAAAAAATTACATTTCAAATTTTCATTGATCTATTCTTTATATGCAATATTAAAATCTCTTAAAAAAATTTAAGATTCAGACCAATAAATTTATATTCCATTTTGGAACTATTAATCTAAAAATAAACTTTTATAGTATACCATGAGATCCAGTTTGTGTAAAATATAAAATGAATTACCCAATCAACATATAAAATGTTATAAAAAATTTACCATACTATTCTCAATATACGTGATTATTAAAAATATCGGATATAAATATTGCAAGTATTTCAATACCACACCTGGTTACAATAGACATATAAAACATATGATTATAGAGAACAATAAAAGGATCGAAATAATAATATATAGAAAAATCATAACAATAAAATAATAATAAATTAAATGAGCCCCCTGTTGAGTTAAAAGAGCATAAATACGATGATAGTTCAAATAGGATTAAGGTCATTGGTCTAAAGTGAAAGTTATTTTAATAATAAATGATTATATACTCTCACACAATCTAAAAATGTCTCGAACATATTATTATAATGCAGGCAGGCAAAACAGTAAAATAACAAAATTAAAATAAAATAATTCCCTTTTTGGTATACAAGCCAAAGTCTATACATACATACAGTCTTATATGTGTGTATAGGTATATAAAAGAAGGATAATAGCTCATAAAAAATTTATGAATTTAAAAATTTTAATATCCTTTTTATTTTTTTTTTTTATTGTTGTTGATTTAATATGAAAAATTTAAGGAAAACTTCACTCATGAAAATAACAGACGAATAAAATGTCGACTGAAAAGGATGCAAATGGAATTTACATGTTTTTCATATTACTAAACAAAAAGTTGTGACAACAATGATTGGATTAAAGAAAAAGTGGTAGGTACAGGTAGTAAAAAAAAAAAAAAATTAAAACCAGACAAGAACAATAAAGTGAAATTTATTCATGAATTTTTTTTTTCCATTAAAGTTGTTAGATTTTGTATGTAGACTAGGTACACAAATTGAGTACATGCTTTGCTTACAAGTAATTGGAATGGGTGTCAAAATGCACTACAAGTTTTCAGATAGATTGAACAATTAAATAGAAAATTATTTTTGAATATTGAGTTTGATGAGGAACATGTTTCCTGTTATAGGGTATCTAGATAATTAAGCTCTGTGGAGAGCGGAAACACGAGAAATAACGAAATGAAAATACGAACTATTAAATTGCTAGTAATAGTATAATAGTAAACAAACAATTTACAACATTGAGAAATTCAAAAAATTTTATTAGAAACATGTATAGCGGTTTTACCTAACTCACTTGGCTCTCAATTCGATAAAATAAACTTATAGCGTACAAAATGGCATTATGTATATAATAGTACAGAGGCGCCACAGTCAAATGCGAAGTGAACTTTTTTTTACATTATATGTAAACAAGATAATATTAAATGAAAACTCCTACAAACATCACTTAAATAATCACGAAATTTATGGTTCATCAATTCGTTACTGTTATCTACGTGCTTATTGTCAGAAACTGGGTCTTTAACCCATAACATAATATGTTATGGTTGAATTAAATGAGTTTAATAACACTTACTAAATGCTACAATACTTCGGTTCCTTTTATGGGCTTTGTAACACTCCAAAATACTATCAGGTACTTGCGAGTTCAGTTTACCAATGGAGTGGTGCTTATTTTATATGAAAACATAAAGCCATCTACTGGATTTTTTTTCCTTCTACACCCCTGGCACACATTATAACATTAGTTGGGTGACTAGCATGTCGTACAACTATTAGAACAGGTTTTCTTAATTCTCAACTATTTTGTTACTGCTATTGAGGCGGTAAAAGGCACGCTTCTTTCAAAAATTTTGCATTGTCATCATTATTATATATTTTTAGTTCGGATACCAAACACCTGAATATAAAAAGCCGAATGTAAAACATACTAAAATTTTAAAATTGGACTTTTAAAATACTTAAATCGAAGTTTATTCAAATATAGCTTATACGTATATGTGGTTGGGAGTATGAAGAACGTTAGAATTGTTATATACACTTAAATGGAACTGTTTTGATATGTATTTAAACGTCGAATCGTTTTGTTTTTAATTATTGACCATATTAAAGTTAAATTAAAGAAATTTAATAATTTTTTTTTTATTTAATTATTTTCAAACAAGTAATAATTAATCTAAATACAATGCACATGAATACACTCTGATAATCCACGCAATTACACTCATTCACTACTAAAAAAAATTACGACTTAATTACAAATAATCCTATCATCTTACAAGAGTGTTAGTACATATGTCTATATTATATATATGTGTGTGTTTATTACTTATATTTAATAGATAATAAAACAAAATTATTTTATTATATTACTGTTATTATCATTATTATATTATTATGAAATATAAGTTAACTGGAAAGTGTAACAAAACATGATTATTAACTAATATACGTATAACTGTTAATTTACATTACATTTAAATTTTTATAATTCAATAGACATAAATCGCACCTTTACATATTCTACAAACACATCTTGATTAATAATAATGTGGCTGGCTAGGATGTTTTTCACATCACTTGCAGCCACATTTCATTCGAATGGAAAATATAAATCAAGTTCATTTTAAATTTTATGAAGTGAACATAAATAGCTTATAAATCAAAGAAAAATGAAAAAAAAAAAATAAAATAAAGAAAAAAAGAAAACGAGAAAATTTAACCATAATTTTCATATTATGGCATTCCAGTTAAAATATCACTTCAGTAATAACAATGTATATGAATATTGTAACAAGTCCGAACCATGTAATTTAAGATCCTACAACGATATGCCATATGTGATAATCTGTAAATTAAAAATTATTTGAAAATAAAGAGAAAATGCCACATATTGTCCAAATTGTTTAAATGCTTCAAGATATAAAAAGAAATTAATGGCTTGTACACACATAAGTGTTAAGCTTGTCTTATTATAATTATCTAAAAAATTTGATCTAATTTATGAAAAAAATGCCATACTCTACATGTCGAAATTTATATTTGATTTTTTATATGAAGAAAATTTACTCAATGAATTATAAGGAATAGTTTAAGAGTATAGTTGTCATTTTTTAAATGTCCGTTTATAATTCATCAAAAAGTACTTCAAATACTCGTACAATATTGTGGTGTCGGTATATAAAGAAATCTGAATATAACAAAAATCGCTATTTGGCAAGTGATTTGCTTGTTAATAGCATTATTTGTTTTTCGTTTTAACGACTCGCTGTACTATGAAATTTCTGTACCATGGACATATCGGGGTTCATTACATGGAGATTCTATGAGTAAATTTTATAATTATGTTCCATTAAATCCGCTATTATTTGCTTTTATTCAAATTGTATTAGACTACTGTTTCGAGCATTTTAAATCAAAGATTCAATTAATCCATAATCATTCCACCGGTTGTAAAAGTTTCTTTCGTCATTTCTAAACGAGAGAGAGAGAGCAAATAACCAGGCCAGGCATGAAGAAATGTTATATAAGATGACATCCTATGCAATATCCATAAATGCAAGTTTGTCACCAATATTTGTGACACACTTACATTTATGGATATTGCATATGATATGTCCATTTTCATACGGTAGAAAACAGGATCTATGTGACTTAATCTTGACAAATCAAACATGAAAATTTCCTCTAAATGATTTGACTGCAATAATGGATCCACAAGCTTTCTTAATTTAACATCAATACACCAGTACTTTCCTTTTTCATTACCTTAAAAATTAATCTGAGGTTATGTTAAGCTATGTAAACTAGAAATTAAATAAATGAAACCATTGACAAAATTACAGCACATAAACAATTTTTGTTCATACAACATCACGTCTTTTGTTATCAATTTATTCTGTTAGTGATTTTTTATTTATTCACACATTATGT